TCGCTGTGTGCGCATGCCCCTTGTTGTTGTTTGTTTGTTGTTGTTGTTGTGCCGAGATGGACGTTAAATTAACGAACGCGCGAAAAAAAATATGTACAAAAGTCGAGTGCGGTAATGCGTACGTGTGTTTAACAACATTCGCCGTTACCTCCTACAAAAACAACTGAACATTTTCTTTGCGAATTATTTGCTGAATAAATTATCGCATGATGATGATGTTGCTGTTGTTGATTTGAAGCTTTCGTGACTGCAGGAATCCATACTCTTTGGTTCTTTCGGTAAAGTCACGTAGAGTAGAAAATAAAATAAATCACGACGTTTCGGGCGCAACACAAGCATCCGTCATCAGGTGGGAAAGCTTGGCCTGCTGCTGAGGCAGACTGTTTTAAAAGGTTTGAAATGGGTGTAGCCCAAGGGTCATAAAGAAGTGGCCGGGGCTAGTGATGTTAATGTGAGAGATTAGAGGGTACGGAAGTGGCTATGTTAATGTGAGAGATTAGCATGATGTTAATGTGAGAAATTAGAGGGCACGGAAGTGGCTATGTTAATGTGAGAGATTAGCATGATGTTAATGTGAGAAATTAGAGGGCACGGAAGTGGCTATGTTAATGTGAGGGATTAGCATGATGTTAATGTGAGAAATTAGAGGGCACGGAAGTGGCTATGTTAATGTGAGAGATTAGCATGATGTTAATGTGAGAAATTAGAGGGCACGGAAGTGGCTATGTTAATGTGAGGGATTAGCATGATGTTAATGTGAGAAATTAGAGGGCATGGAAGTGGCTATGTTAATGTGAGGGATTAGCATGATGTTAATGTGAGAAATTAGAGGGCACGGAAGTGGCTATGTTAATGTGAGAGATTAGCATGATGTTAATGTGAGAAATTAGAGGGTACGGAAGTGGCTATGTTAATGTGAGAGATTAGCATGATGTTAATGTGAGAAATTAGAGGGCATGGAAGTGGCTATGTTATGTGAGGGATTAGCATGATGTTAATGTGAGAAATTAGAGGGCACGGAAGTGGCTATGTTAATGTGAGAGATTAGCATGATGTTAATGTGAGAAATTAGAGGGTACGGAAGTGGCTATGTTAATGCGAGAGATTAGCATGATGTTAATGTGAGAAATTAGAGGGCATGGAAGTGGCTATGTTAATGTGAGGGATTAGCATGATGTTAATGTGAGAAATTAGAGGACATGGAAGTGGCTATGTTAATGTGAGAGATTAGCATGATGTTAATGTGAGAAATTAGAGGGCACGGAAGTGGCTATGTTAATGTGAGAGATTAGCATGATGTTAATGTGAGAAATTAGAGGGCACGGAAGTGGCTATGTTAATGTGAGAGATTAGCATGATGTTAAAGTGAGAAATTAGAGGACATGGAAGTGGCTATGTTAATGTGAGAGATTAGCATGATGTTAATGTGAGAAATTAGAGGGCACGGAAGTGGCTATGTTAATGTGAGAGATTAGCATGATGTTAAAGTGAGAAATTTGAGGGCACGGAAGTGGCTATGTTAATGTGAGGGATTAGCATGATGTTAATGTGAGAAATTAGAGGGCACGGAAGTGGCTATGTTAATGTGAGAGATTAGCATGATGTTAAAGTGAGAAATTTGAGGGCACGGAAGTGGCTATGTTAATGTGAGGGATTAGCATGATGTTAATGTGAGGAATTAGAGGGCACGGAAGTGGCTATGTTAATTTGAAAGATTATCATTATGTTAATGTGAGAAATTAGAGGGCACGGTGGTGGCTATGTTAATGTATGATGTTAAAGTGAGAAATTAGAGGGTACGGAAGTGGCTATGTTAATGTGAGGGATTAGCGTGTTAATGTGAGATCGAAGAGTGGCCTCCACGAGGCAAGAGCGTCAACATGCTAATCTCTCACATTAACATAGCCACATGCCGGCGTGAGTAGGTTAAACGTTGAGTTTTATAAGGGCACCACGGGGTGACCAGCCCCTCCCCACCCAGCCCCACCCTCTCCACCCAGCCCCTCCTTCCCCACCCAGCGCCTCCCCACCCAGCCCCACCCTCCCCTCCCCACCCAGCCCCACCCTCCCCTCCCCACCCAGCCCCTCCCTGCACGACGGACGGACACAATAATCCCCTGTGGGTTGGTATGACCAGGAGGTTCCTACCAGTACGAAGTAGAAACCAGTGGCGGCTCCTGCAAAATCTCTCAGGGGGGGCAAATGTCTGGATGATTGATAAGGATAAGGTCCACCCATGCAATGGATAAATTAACAGCTTAAGCATGTAAAGGCAACTTCACTTCTTTAATATTAATGACAAATAAAGTGACTCTTACAATACATCTTGTTTGTTTCTATACTCACTATTAATACAATCCACTCAAGTTTCTTTTATTAAAGATTCCACTAGGTGGCGACAAATTATATTGTTGGATGAAACGTGCTTACGTATGATGACGTAAGCACGTTAGGGCGAGCCCTCCCGGAAGCCATAGAGAATGCATTGCAGCGCCCCCCGGTCGAAAAAAAACATCTTTGAATGTAAGTCTATGGGAACACTCGGGGCGATTCTCAGCCGGAGTGAAATCGCCCAAAAAGAGGCGGTACTCCACAGAACGTGACATGACGCTGATTGGACTATATCCAGAGGCACAGTGACGGCTAGCGTGACTCTGTGGTTCAATGACATTGGTGGTGCGTCGCCCAATCGCCCTAATGAAGAAACCGCTCCTGGTAGAAACAACATCGCAATGGCGTCAGCTCAGGGCATCGTCTCCCTCGGGGGTCGGCACGCACCGTGCACTTTGTATGGAAATTAGAGCGATTGGGACGATTTAGTCGAATTAACTGAGGGAAAATAGCGATCGATTACTTATTGGGTGTGATCAATTGGGCGTTAATAATCAAATTAAAACATCGGCCTTCACCTGTACCCAGAATTTCTCCGAAGGCGGGAAACCCCCGATTTGACTGTACAACCCGCGCCTCGCCCACGATGCACCACCCGTCCAGGGGCACACTCGGTGACTTGTTTTTTTGATCCCCCCTCACAATATTTTCAGTTATCGAACCGTTACATCGGTAATATAATCAATGTTTACTAAACTGTACATGCTGGTCCAGATGTCTTGTGACACCCCCCTATCCCCTCACATTTAATTGTTAAAACTTAACATTTTTTAAAAAGGTTTATCTAAAACAGAAATGAATATGCTGCAAGTTAGTAAACTAATGTTAGGGGTTAATTAATTTGGCGGAGGAGTGGTGGGGTGGGGGGTCACAAGACATGGGGACCGCCATGGTAACGTGGAATTTCCACCAGGGGCGACGACAGGGTGGCCACAGCGCGTCCAGCACGCGACTCGAGCAGTAGTGGCAGTTGTTGTTGTAGTCGTTGTTGTTGTAGTGATTGTTGTTGTTGTAGTAGTTGTTGTGATTGTTGTTGTGGTTGTAATTGTAATTGTTGTAGTAGTTGTAGTAATTGTTGTGGTTGTTGTTGTAGTAGTTGTTGTAGTAGTAGTTGACGTAGTAGTAGTTGTGGTTGTTGTAGTAGTTGTTGTAGTTGTGATTGTTGTGGTTGTAATTGTGATTGTTGTAGTAATTGTTGTGGTTGTTGTAGTTGTAGTAGTTGATGTAATTGTTGTAGTTGTAATTGATATGGTTGTAATTGTTGTTGTGGTTGTTGTAGTAGTTGTGGTTGTTGTATTAATTGTTGTACTAGTAGTTGTAGTAAGTGTTGTAGTGGTTGTAGTAATTGTTGTAGTAGTTGTTGGTAGTAGTAGTAATTGTTGTGGTTGTAGTAATTGTTGTTGTAGTTGTTGTAATTGTATTAATTGTAGTAATTGTTGTTGTGGTTGTTTTAGTAGTTGTAGTAATTGTTGTGGTAACTGTTGTGGTAATTGTTGTTGTGGTTGTTGTATTTGTAGTAATTGTTGTAATTTTTGTAGTAATTGTTGTGGTAATTGTTGTGGTTTTTGTAATTGTTGTAGTTGTAGTAATTGTTGTGATTGTTGTACTTGTAGTAATTGTTGTTGTGGTTGTTGTAGTTGTAGTAATTGTTGTGGTTGTTGTTGTAGTAGTTGTTGTAGTAGTAGTTGACGTAGTAGTTGTTGTGGTTGTTGTAGTAGTTGTAGTAGTAGTTGTGGTTGTTGTAGTAGTTGTTGTAGTTGTGATTGTTGTGGTTGTAATTGTGATTGTTGTAGTAATTGTTGTGGTTGTTGTTGTAGTAGTAGTTGACGTAGTAGTTGTTGTAGTTGTTGACGTTGTAGTAATTGTTGTTGTGGTTGTTGTAGTAGTTGTTGTAGTTGTAATTGTTGTGGTTGTAATTGTTGTGGTTGTTGTAGTTGTAGTAGTTGATGTAATTGTTGTAGTTGTAATTGATATGGTTGTAATTGTTGTTGTGGTTGTTGTAGTAGTTGTGGTTGTTGTATTAATTGTTGTACTAGTAGTTGTAGTAAGTGTTGTAGTGGTTGTAGTAATTGTTGTAGTAGTTGTTGGTAGTAGTAGTAATTGTTGTGGTTGTTGTAATTGTTGTAGTAATTGTTGTTGTAGTTGTTGTAATTGTATTAATTGTAGTAATTGTTGTTGTGGTTGTTTTAGTAGTTGTAGTAATTGTTGTAGTAATTGTTGTGGTAACTGTTGTGGTAATTGTTGTTGTGGTTGTTGTAGTTGTAGTAATTGTTGTAATTTTTGTAGTAATTGTTGTGGTAATTGTTGTGGTTTTTGTAATTGTTGTAGTTGTAGTAATTGTTGTGATTGTTGTACTTGTAGTAATTGTTGTTGTGGTTGTTGTAGTTGTAGTAATTGTTGTTGTAGTAGTTGTAGTTGTTGTAGTAATTGTTGTTGTGGTTGTTGTTGTAATTGTTGTAGTTGTAGTAATTGTTGTTGTGGTAATTGTTGTTGTATTAACTGTTGTAATTGTATTAATTGTAGTAATTGTTGTTGTAGTAGTTGTAGTTGTTGTAGTAATTGTTGTTGTGGTTGTTGTTGTAGTTGTTGTTGTTGTAGTAATTGTTGTTGTGGTTGTTGTAGTTGTAGTAATTGTTGTTGTAATTGTTGTAGTTGTAGTAATTGTTGTTGTGGTTGTTGTAGTAATTGTTATAGTAATTGTTGTAATTGTTGTTGTATAAATTGTTGTTGTAAATGTTGTTGTAGTTGTTGTGGTTGTTGCGAGCGTCACGACTCTGCGTCATCATCATCATCAGCGCGTCTCAAGGTTCAGCCGCGCGGGGCCACGAACCGAGACGCGGCGAAACAGACGACGACAAAGTCCCGCGTCTCGTGCCACATACAAAGTACACACACATATCATAGACAACAACAACAACAACATCGACAACAACATCTTGTTGTGTTGACAGCAGCCGAGCGACATGTCCGACGTTAAAGATCAGCAGGAGCAGGAGAAGGATCTGCGCAGCGTGTTGGTGACGAGCGTCCTCACCCTGGAGAAGATCGACCAGGGCCTTTACAGGTCACACATCTTTGTTATCTTTTTATAATTAAACTTCTATTTATTTTAAAACGTACAAGTTAAACGATTATTGAACGTTCTTCGTTAGCGTTGCCGTAATGTGATTATTTATTTACGGCGTTAAGCCGCTGATCGGAGATGATTTGTAAACGCAACAGCATTGACGATGATGATGATCATCATCATCATCATCACGGTCGATAAAACGAGTACCGGTGCGAGTTCGCCCCCCGTGCGGCGCGGAACGACCGCTGCCGGCGCCTGCCACACTAACGTGGAATTGCCACCGGCGGGCTACGGGGCCAGCCGATTGTCTGGCGAGCAGCAAAAGCGAAATGTGTGTTAGTCGTTAACAAGATGTTAATGTTAACGTGGTTGTTAACGAGGGGGGGGGGGGAGGTTATCATCTTGTTAAAGATGCGGAATTTAACCGCGATGTTAATGATTTGCGTCTTCGATCAAATTTAAAAAGGGGATGGATAACATGTTGTTGGTGGTGGTGGTGTTGATGTTGGTGGTGGTGGTGTTGTTGTTGGTGGGGAAGTTTCAATGTTAATGTTTTGTGTCTTCATCATACCGGGTACAGTGCACTGTACTGTACTACAGTGACCCACGGATGCCACGCTGAGGCACAGTCGCTGTCTGCTGGGGACAGTGCGCATTGCACACAGACACACACAGACACACACACAGACACACACTGACACACACACAGACACACACACACAGACACACACACACAGATACACACACAGACACACACAGACACACACACAGACACACACAGACACACACACAGACACACTGACACACACACTGACACACACACACTGACACACAGACACACTGACAAACACTGACACACGTACACACACTGACACACACGTACACACAAAGACACACAAACACACACTGACACACGTACACACACTGACACACAGACACACTGACATGTACACACACTGACACACTGACACACACACAGACACACTGACACGTATACACACTGACACACACTGACACACACAGACACACTGACACACACACACTGACACACGTATACACACTAACACACGTATACACGTGTGTAGACACACTGACACACTGACTCACGTATACGTGTGTAGACACACTGACACACTTACACGTGTGAAGACACTGACACATACACGTGTCTCTCTTGTATGTACGTCTCCATGTGTCTCCCGTCTGTATGTGTCCGTGTGTCTGTGTGTGTCTTTGTCCTCGTGTGTTTGTGTGTATGTGTCTATCTGCACGGCTGTCTCAAGACTAATTGAGGATGTGTGCAGACAAGGGAAGGAGGCCTCCAGAGACAGACAGACAGAGGGACAATGCGATCCACACAATGAGAGGGAAAGACACACAGACACACAAATACAGGACTCCAAGGCTGTAATTATAATATATATTGGGGGGGGAACACATCCCCCCCCAAAAATTCAAATGTGCTCAAAATGTCCCCCCCCAATATATTGCTATACAATAGATTTCTGTTCATATGATTGTGGTTATGGTTGTACTTTATTAATCCCTAATCTCTGCCATTGCATACAATGAAACAAGAAAATGTCAAAAAGTTAAAACAGAGCAATGTAATACAATACACTATTAGACATTATTGTAAAAAATAAAAGAAAAGTCCATCCCATGTGTGAGTGAATTTTTTCATATTTTAGGCAGGAAATGAGTTTTCAAATTTTGATTTTTTTTTCTGGGGGGGGGGGGGACGACGACCCCAGACCCCCTGGAAGATTTGGTCCCCCCCAATGTTGACTCCATGGCTACGGCCTGGCAGGACTCGGCAGAAAAAGTCGAATCTGTGGAGAGACATGGGTTGACAGTACACAGATGCAGATACAGAGACAGACGCTCATTGAGATAGACACAAAAGGATAGAGACTTCACGAACGCAAGTGCCACCACAGCCTAAATAGGCGCTCACAAACAGCGCTTGCCTCTACAGAGCGTTTAAAGTTTAAACGTGGTCTTCGTACATTTGAAACGTGGTCATGGAAAAACAAAATACGGCGGCAGAGGGCGCCCTGAGCGACCAAAAGTGAAAATAAAATTTGACAAAATGAATGCCTGAAACGAGAGCTACATTGAGTAGGTCGTCCAGCGATTGATACAACCACTTAGTGGATCGTTATACTGCATAACAGTCCAGCAGTGGATAGATCATGGCAGGCAATGAAGTTGATAATGGGGCTTCGACGGTGGCAGCCTTACCCCTACAGATTGACACAAATGTCAAATCGACGCTGATTCTGATGGTGATGGTGGTGCATTTGTATACTGGTGAGTGGTAGTGTAGCGGGTAGCGCGCCGCGCTACGAACTTGGCGACCCGGGTTTGTTTCCCGCTCACGGCTAACACCGGTGACGATTATCTGAACCGGTCCTGGGCCTCCCCTTAGGTCGACTCAGCCTCAAATAGGTACCTGGTGCGATGTGTAAACATCATTTCCACTAGGGAGACAAAGGCGGCCGGGCGTGGTGCGAGCAACCCACCGCCTCGTGTACTGTGCCGGCCTTCAGAGCCGCTAGATTGAAAACTAAGTTTTTTATAACTGCTTTTGGTGTTTAGTTTGTTGTCCTTCCCCCGCGCCTCCGATCAGCACTAGCCTCAGCGGCCTGTTAAAGCTACACCGGGGGATATCTCTTTTGTCCGTGTGCATGCGTAGGGGGTCGCATCCCTGGGTGCCACGGTCAAACACGCTGTTTGGCGGGCAGATCGTGGGGCAGGCGCTGGTGGCGGCCGGGCTCACGGTGGCCAAGAGCCTCCACGCGCACTCGCTCCACTGCTACTTCGTGCGTCCAGGTGCGTGGTCGGAGGGGGGGGCTGACGCGGCGCATCACGGCGCGATACCGGGGCTGACCCCGGAGGTCGCAATCGGGTACCCGATACCCGTACCCTACCCGATACCCGGCTACCCGTACCAGGCCGGGTACCCGTTTGCGACCCTGGTGCGGCCGGGTACGGGTAAGGAATCAAAACCCGTTTGCGACCTCTGGCTGACGCGTCTCGAATGCCGCCGCGCTGCGTGAGCATCGACAAGCTCCTTCAAATTAGAGCTGCCCGGCCCAGTCCGCC